CTTTAAAGACATAGATAGATAAACAAATAACAAGATATATAAAAAAGCATATAACCAACTAAGTCATTAGAATTACCAAAAAAAAAAATTACTAAAATATATTATACTAAGCTATCTAAATTAAAAGTCTGAAAAGTACTATTAGTCCTAAGTAGCAGTTAGTAGAAGAGGATAAAGAAGATATCAAAAAAATGAGTATTAGATTTTGAATAAACCTTACAAGTTTAATAGTTAACACTGACTGCAAGTACTAGTTTAGACTAAAGTAATACCAAATTAGTTATAAGTATAAATACAGAAGACTCTAGCAAGTTTAGCATAAAATTAAATATAACTTAGTAATTATGACATATTTTTACAGTTTTAAACAAACTATTTAAATTAAATAATAACTAAAGTTATACAAATAACTAGTTATATACACTTCTTATATGTTTGCTATATAACAGATACTAGTTAATATATATTATCAATAAAATTCTAAATCACAAATACTTACCTTAATATTAAAAAAATTTATTAAATAAAATTTAAAATATTATATCTATTGATCAATAGTATTAATAACTATTTAAGTTTATAATCTATATCTTTTTTTATTTTATTATTATTTTCTTTATCAAATTATTATTTTTTTATTTATATTTTTATTATCTAAAATATTTTTATCTTTAATTTTTTTTAATTCTTTTTTAAATATTTTAACTTGTTTATTAATTCTTTTTTTATTTTATTTTTTTTTTTAAAAGAGAGGTCTGTCTTTTATCTTTTTATTAATTAGTTAATTTACATATATAAAATACATGCTAAAAAAACTAAGCTAAGAAAGGCAGAAGTAAGAACTACTTTATTCTTGATTTATTTTTTATTAGAATAATTAGTAAACCTCTTGTTTTTAATAAAATAATGAAGAAAATATTGTTTATTAGTAATATAATACTATATTTTTTTATTTAATACTAATAGTAGAGTTGGTTTAGTTTTAGCTAATATTGGAGGCTATAATGGTGATAAGATTAGAAAAACAAATCATGTTGTACTGCTCTAGAAATAAATCAAAGTTCTTTGTATATTATAATAATAATATTATGATATATAAGAAGAACATATTTGTTTTTTGTTTATTATTTTTAAAAGTTAATAATGTATTAGTAGTTATTAATTCTAGTGACATATGTTTGTTAATGTAATTTAAAATGAAGACTTAAATAAAACTATTTAAATTATAGTAAAATATTTCTAAATTTTTAAAGTTTTCATACTGCATCTTTTATTAAGGTTGTAAAACAAATATAATTCTAGAAACAAGTTAAGAAATATATTATATCTTTAGATATATTATAACATCTTAAGCAGAAATAATTTGAATGCTTGATAAAATTTTTTTAGTAAAAAAGAAAATAAGTAAGTAACTTTTCTAATAATAATTTAATTTTAAAGTTTTTTAATGCTGAAAAGAAAGGATCAGTCATTAAGGCCAAGAGTTTTTTTCTATATAATATGTATTAGTGACTAGTTAATTTTGTTTTGTAAAGTATAATAATATGAGATTTGTTATTGGTTAAACCAAGTCATTTTGATTATAATTCAGTAAATTTGTTTCAGTGTAGTTTTTAACAGATATATACAAAAATTATCAAAGAACTTTAGGACATAGTAATTATATAGGAATTTTTGTGATGTAGAATCTAATAGAAAGATATTATTTTGAACTTGAAGAATTTAAAGTTTTTTGTTAAGTGTAACCATAAGGGTTTGATTATATGTTATTGCTTTTAGATCAAAAAGAGGGAGATATGTTGCTGTTTGTCTAAACTAGAATAGTTATGTGATTGAACTAATTGTATAAAAATATGGTTTGAACATTTTTTAATCAAATAAATAAATTAAATTTTATTAAGTTAATATATTTTAACTTTTTAAATAAAAATACTTAACACTATAAAAAATATATAACACTATAAAAAATATATAATTATATATTTTTAAAATTAATATATTAATTTTTGAAACTTGTATATACTGTGAGCATTCTTGAACATGTGGACGTTTGGACATTGAACATGGTCTAAAAATGTCTTAAGCATAGTAGACGTGACAACACTGATTTAATCTACCTAAATGTAACCCAGGTAAGATAATTTTGTAACAATTCTAATTAATAATATTATATAGAGTAAAAAATTCTTTGATTTTCACCTTCAAAAATATTAGCTAATATCTGTCATTGCCCTTACACCAGCCTATGAATTAAAGTTGTTAGCAATAAGTTGACTATTTGTAGTAAAGCTTAAAATTTAATAATCTATATAAATTCTTTGTTTGTAAAGCAATGTAATGAAAAGGATATCCTGCATTCTTTATTACAAGCTACTTATCCTGTTAATTATTATAATGGTAAAATATTTATAATCTATAACATCGTTAAGTTCATATTAAATTTTTCAGTTTTAGAGAAGCGACATACGTACGTACGTGTGTACTACAAAATATAGATGACATATCTATGGAACCAAATTCTTTCAGGGGCAACTTTGCCAGAGTGATAACATAAAGGTTTTCCCTCTTTGTCACTCATTTCAAAGAAATATGAATGTAATTATAAAACAACAGATAATCAAAATCTCCCCGATCATCACAAAAATCATGTGATCAAATCTTTTTGCAAAGTGATCGATTACAATCGAAGCCTCTATTTATATATCATCGATTTAAATCGTTGATAATAAAAATCTCTTGAAATCCTTATATTTTAATCGATTCTAATCAGATTTTTAAAATTTCCCGATAAATGCTAATTATCTCATCGAAACATTCTGATTTCATGATTTCATGACATTCAAAAATTTGAAATAATAATAATATCGCGGCTGAAGTTGGAAATTAAAGATTTTAACTTAAAAAATAAACCTTACCAAAATCCACATATACAGTACAATACCAAAACTACCCTAAATCTCAGCCTAATTGTAAAAAAAAAAAAGCTAAAAAAATGTACTCTCAAAAAATTTGGAAATTTCATATTAAAATATTTAAAATTTCCAACTTCAGCCACGAAAAGTAACAATACATATCTAAACTTGCTAATCCCTAGAAAAACCTGATGATGCATAATTGCATATCAGATTCCAGTCATTGTTTGGCATTTATTTTCTGATAATCACTTTCTTGACAATTTCTCGACATTCACTTCCCGATGTTTTCACTTTTGAAATTTCGATTTCTCTGGTAATCCCTTTCATATGATGGGTCACGCAAGGGATTTTTAATATGAGATTATTTGGCCTGCATAGGATATCATCTAGCCTGCATTAAATATTATCCGGCCTGCATTAACATTAATGGGCCAATTTCTAATTAGTAATTGATATCGATATACATAAAATTAATGCGCATGCTTTCTACATAGAACTTTTTATTTGTTTATCATTCTATATACGTATATATGTCGCATCTGAAGTAGTGATTTACTTGAATTTTTTTTTGCCGTTGGTAGTTCTTACTATTCCTTGTTATAATAAATATATTACCATATCAAGTCATTCTTTAAACAACGTTATTATAACATGGCATCATTTTGAAAAACCTGGACCAGACCAAGATTATAACAAGGGCGTGCTAAATGTATTATTATTTAAAATATATTATTTTAACAAGAAATTATATTTCTAGTGATAATATTTATATATATTTTTATAATTCATGAAAAATTACTATATTTCGTGAATCCCGCGTGGGCGCGCGGGATTTTTAAAAAACTGCGATTTGTCCATTACTACACAAGTTCCTTTTATACAATCATTAATCTCCATTTCTATTTATATATTAATTGTTTAAAAAAAATGCTTATATAAATGATCATAACGGAAATGTTAAAAACAATATATTTTTATTTATTCTCAAAAATCTTCAATAATAAATACAATTTGTCTATTGTTATTCTTTAGGAATTGACATTATAATTTATAAGCATAGAGAATTTATGCATTTTCTGAGACTGGTATTTATCTAAGTGTTGCATGGCACCAGTTTTGTCAATCGATTTGCTCATTGGTGATTGTCACACTCTTTTATTATACCATTTATCACATCGCGTAATAAATAATTTAATAATGATGCGACAATTACCAATGAACAAACGGTTTAACAACAATGACGTGGACTCACCAATAATCAAGAACGCAGTCCCATGGCTTTCCAACTTTATTTCTATAATTACTAATCGTTCAACGTATCAGTATTAGTATTATTAGTCAAAGTTTTTACTATAGATTATCTATCTAACTACATGACAAATGTAGGTTTAATAGTATCTCTTCTTTTTTTTTTCAGATTTGAAGTTTAATGATCTATGTGTTCGATCACGTGACAGATACAATAAAATTGTTTATTTTGATCAACACGGATCAGTCCAACGAAGTCAAATATGAAAAAACGGTATTGTAGTCTAAACCCATCTAAGTTATACTTGCCGCCTAAATCCAAAACTCAATCCCAAACTAATATCTTAAAAAACTCATTAATAATCTTTATTTAAACAAATAATATATGTTCTTATTGCTATATATAATATATTTACAAAATATCAAAATTATTTTATTGATTTAATTTTTTATAAAAGCAAATTGTTTTTTTGGGGTTTTGGATTTGTTCAGGTTTTATCAGTAAGTATAATCTCAGTGCATCAATTAAAATGTCTACACAGTGATTTTATTTATAGACTTGTAATCACCTAAACCCAACTCTAATTTTAATTAGATAATTGAAATTATATAAACGCACGACTATCTATGTATTATTCTCAAAATTCTATACACGATCATGTCAAAAAACAAAAAAAACTTTTTTGGCAATCGTTTAAACAAACATTTCAAATATTTTAAACAACCATTTTCAAATATTTAAACGAACATTTTCAACAAACATTTTCAAACAACTTATTCAGGAAAACAGTGCAAAGACAAATTTGCACAATTAAAAAAAACATCCAATATATCAAAATGTACAAAACGGCGAGTCAGTCACTCCATCGTTATTGGGTTCTTGCAACAAGTCGAAATATTCAAGTCATAAGAAAAGACATGTTATGGCACAACGTAATCCCGGATAGTCTTTATGAAGCGAGTTCAGATAACAACAATATAACTTCAAAAGACAATTTAATTTTAGAAAAGCAATAACTCTAAGTAAACTCCAACTATAAACAGCTTTTTGAAAGTCTTACCTGATATCTCTATAACGCTATTCGGCCTTAGACCTTGCCAAATCGAATCTGCCTTACTTTACTGTCAAGTAACGTTACGCGACATTGAATTGTCGCATTTCTCTTCTCTTTGGTGTGTGTGTTAGGTTGATTTAGCCAGCAACAATATCAAGGTAAATAAGTATATGTAATCATTTTTTTCGGATAACTCTTCAGAAGCGGTTTTAATTATTATAATAGTAATAATAGTGATACTACCTTTCAATTTTCTAAATATAGCAACACTTCCGAAGATAACCAAGAATGGGAAGAAGCTTCGTAGGTTTTTTCCCTTATGTGACACTTCAAAAACAATGAACCCAGAGAATATCACGTCATGTGAAATAACGCAATATGTCATAGCACTAACAAATTGGCCTAAATTATACTATCACCTAACCTTAACACTAATTTAGGTCGAGTGTTTAATCATGCGATGCGATGATCGCGAAGATACCATGATCTTGAAACTACCCGGCTAATTCCCTTTTTTTATTGAGATGGTATCTAACATCTTGAATACTTAATAGTAATGTTAAATTTCCTTATTTACTGAAAAACTTTTAGTGTACATGAAAATTGAGATGATAATAGTTTATCGAAAGCAACGTGAATTTGGTGCTTGATATTATGTTATTAAAAATTTATACGTCAAAAATTAAAAAAATTTTACATTTTTATCTTGATCAATTTTAGGACGAAATTTCAATTGAAATAGAAATCGGATTCAGATTGAGTTCTTGTTGGTTTAAGGTCTAGGCGTAAGTATTTAACTTTTTTTTTGGATTTCCAACAATATTGTTTGATAACATAAATATGCTTCCTATGATTGAATAAAAGGAACTTGAACAAAGAAACGACAGTTGAGCTTTTATACCAATGAGAAAAAACTTAATATAAATTCAAGTGGATGTGAGGGCCAAATTCTGTATGTAGAGTTTTAAATATTTTTATCATTATAATTAATTAAATTTATAATATTGGTGATTGCATTATTAGCATAAATCATGACCATGCCTTAAAAAAATTTATGTCAAAATGAAGTTAATGATTGACGTGGATCATGTGATCTTGAGGTCCCGTTGGACCGCCAACGTAATAGGACGATCGACGTAACGATTAGTAAGGTTAAGCGATGCGGAAGTATGATGAGTATCACAAGACTGCAATTTAAGAATCGATGATGTAATCGTACATGATAAAAATTATATAAATAAGAGGTTCAATCTTACGAATCGAACCTCAACTTCTACCAGTTCTTGTATAAAAGTAAACTAAAGCCTAACTTGTAACGTGGTGTACCTTTTGGATTGTGAGATCAGGGCCGTTGCTAGGTGAAGGTGCAATATGCCATTCAAGGACTAATGAAAAATCCGCGAGTGTGCAATAAACCATTTGGGCAAGATTTTAGATATACAACGCTTTAATTTATCCTCACGACATCCTCACGACAATGATGCAATTGCGATAAAATTAGTACCAATATGAATTGATTATTATAGGAATAAAAGTAATAAGAAAATACAATTTTAGCTTAATTTCTTACTATGTATCATTTACTATCATTTTACGATTTTTTTGTAGTCTTGGGGGAATTAGTGCCCATCATGGTATATTATATTATCGATATAAAGCGGGTTGACAGAAAATAAATTTAATATATTATATTTTATATTCAAAGGATATGAATTAAAAACCATTGACGATAACAACCAAATTCCTATTCAGCCTCGGCAATATGCTATTAATAATAATGTCGTACGTCGGAATGGATTTGGAATTCACATAGCATAGGGTTGTACCATAATTCTAAAATGTACCCAAGTTGCTAAAGAATTCCAACTCAACTTACAATAAAATTGAATGCATTACAAATTATTTCATCATCAGTCACTTTAAGATAGGGTTTATTCATAACGTAAATTAAAAAAGCATTGTATGAAGTTTTTACATCTATAATTAGAGTGATGGCAATTACTCCTACAGGGTACAATTATTTTTCTACATTTACAATGATTTTTGCCACACAAATTTTTGCAATTGCATTTAATGTTACCCACTTGTAAAATGGATTGCATAATAGATACTTCTAGAACGCTTATGAACGTTGAAACAATTCATTAGAATTATGCGCAATTTTAATGATGCCAAATTCGCATCCAAGTCATTCTTTGAAACTTCAAGGGAGTTTCTTTTTTGACTAGGGATGACAAATGTTTTTTATTACGCAATTAAAAACAGTATATGTTTAAATCCGGATTTAACGATTCGAACTTTAATTATCACCTGTTTTAAATCGGTGAAACAAATGGGTTATCCTATTTTTTTATCATCCTACTTTCGATAGTTGTGTTTGTATTTGTTGGTTCTTGTAAAATCTTAATAAAAACTCAAAGTTTTACATGTTATAAATGTTTCAGTAAGATTTCTGAGAGATATCAATGGAATATCAGACGTTTATAAGTTCGATAGCTATCTATCAGAATATAAAATATCAAAAATTCGATATTTTCTAATAAGAGTATCGAATTTCTGCTAAGCCTATTAGAAGTGATATTCTTCTGATAGGTAGAAATACGCGCCATAAATCAGGTAGCTATTGAATTTATAATTGTCTGATATTCAATTGATATCTCTCAGAAATCTTACAGAAATTTAAAAATTCGACTAGTGTAGCGATTATGCTAAAAGGATTATCATATATATAAATAAATCAAGTATAGTCTAGTTCAAGTTACATGTTATTATTATCATTTAGTATACGTACTTTCAATTACGCATTACTCATATTACGATAGATCAATGCAAAAAAAAATATTAGAATGAAATTAGAAACTGAAATCGTCACTATTTCTCAAGAATTCAATGATTCAACTTTGTTTTTGCCATTGATTGATATAAAAAAATTAAAAATTTAGGATTCCCTCTGTTAACTCGGCCACCATTTGTATAAGTTCGTATGTCCTTATACTGAAATTATTATTTTTAAATATTTATTTAAAAATTATTCACCAAGGAATATGGCTCTAAATAATAATCATAAAACTAAAAAAGTAATTGTACTTATTGTAAAAATTAAAATTAAACTCCTTTAAGATTAATAATATTTTTAGTAATAAAATATTGTAAAACTTAATATAGACAAAACTATATCTTATATAGAGTAAGTCAATAAAAATAAGTTTTGATCAAAATAACAATATTTTAGTTAATAGTTTTGCTTAAAAGTTTAAAAATTTTTTATTAAGATTTGGTGCATTTCTACTAACTCATCCCATATATAAGTTTAATATTTTTGTATAACTCTCAGCCTCACTACGCTTGGCTTCATTTTAAATCCAACACACATTTATATATATATATTTACAGTTAATATCATAAATCCAGAGACAACTAAAAAAAAAAACATGCTGACGACCAACTCGATCAGATCATCGGCAATTTGTATTTGTTAGTTAGTTATCACCAGATTTATAAAGTCGTAATACATATTTTATAGTATTCCAATCTGTTTTTTTTATATAATTCTTTGACCCACTTCATTCGGTCAATTAAATATAAAAACCAATGAGTCATAATTCCGGTTAAAATTGCCAATCATTTGGTCAATTTTTAATTTATTTTACTTCAGATCTGGTCAAATGATCAACAATTTTGACCGGAATTATAATTCATTGGTTTTTATATTTAAATCAGATTACCCCCGAAGTTTCGTTCGTTTTCGACCAATCAAAACAATAATCACTCTTAATTATCTCAAAAATTCGACTAAGAAATCATTTTTTGGTACACTAACAAAAAAAATTCCTTGCAAAATTTTATTATAATAATACTAACGCCAAACCCTAACTGAGATGTCACATTTTAAACGAAGGTGACATGTAAATTGGTGTGAATAATCCCAACCAATAGAAACTTGGGGGAAAGTGCATTTACGAGTTTCGATTCTGTTTAATCAAGTCCCGTGAAAATAAAAAAATTTGCATTTCCTGACAACTTAAATTTTTACCTAAGAAATTATTTTTTGTGCAAATTTTGACATATCGTTGCTCATTAACGCTATAACTAACCCTAGGATAACAAAAATTTAAAAGAAAATAATATGTAAATAGTCATGAATAATCCCATTCATTAGAAACATGCTGAAAATTCCATATGGTAGGTAATATAATCAAAATTTTATTATCGATATTGCCAAATATTAAATCTGTATGCTTAAGCAAATTTCGAATCTAGAAATAATTTTGTACCTAACCTTAAATAGTTTACAAAGAAAACTTACTATTACATATTACATTTACAGAAGTTAGGGATGTTATGTGGTCTGGTCTTAGACAGTTAGTCTTAAGACCAGTGTGGACCTGAAAACCAGCCTGGACCGATCTGAAACTAACCAGGACTGGACTAAAATAGAGTTAAGTGAAATGAGTGTGTAAAATATTTGATTTTCGATTTTCGATTTTAGATTCCTTTACATGTTTATTGATAAAACAAGATGATATTTTGTTCGTTCAGGCAGTTTTTTGACTTTGCCTTTTTTTTTCAGAGATATTTCAATGCTCAATTTGAAAATTTGTCATATTTTGTGTGAGCATCAAACCAAAAACATTGAATATTATTGCTCTGCAAGCTAATTCCGTTTGAAGGAGATTGAATTTTTACGTTTGTTTTATGACTTTAAAGATAGTAAATCGAAGTAAGAGTATAATATAGTGATATTAGACGACTCAGTAATCGATTTATCTGACTACGTAATATCATATTTAAGAAAAAAAATGACTATATGTTTTATTGAAATTTATGCATAAAGTCTTGGAGACGAAAAACTAGTTAATCCGTTTAATTTTTGTTCACCTTTTGGTGATTTTCTTTTTTTTGGTTGAACATGATGAACATTCTTCTCAGTAATGTCAATAATATTCTTGTTTTATTGTAAATCAGTAATGTTTTCGTAAATCAGTAGTGTTTTCGTAAATCAGTAGCGTTTTCGTATGTAATACAATAGTCTAGCAAATCAATCTTAAAAAATTTGTATTCAAATAAATATATTTTAAAGACTTAATACATTAAAAATATTTAGCATTATGAGACACTCCGCTTCGAAACTGATTTATTAATTTACCCAAAGTTTATTTATTCATCCTTAATGATATCTTAATGATATCTCAATGGTATCGTACAAATCAGAAACAATAAGATATAGATGGAGTACTATAAAGGTTCATGATATCGTTATTGGAAAAAAAAATTTGCACTATCAAAAACATGTGAAGAAATCTTGAAGTATGATTCACGGTTTCGTGCAGCAATAAGTTGCATCGTAATCATGATTACGTTTTAAAGTGTAATGATAATTTTTAGTATTTTTGAATATTTTTGTTTATCAAGAATTAATTCATTAAATTATTTCTTTATCCTGAGACATTAATTTGTTTCGAAGTACGATAAAAATAAATTGATAATTACTCCTAAATTTAAATAAACGGTAAAAAAAAGTTCAGGATAGAAGTTAGTACTTTTTAGTAATTAAATAGAATGAAATAGAATGAAGTGAATTAAAATGATTAAATAGAATGAAGCGGAAATTTTTTTATTATTTATATTCGTACAACCGACGCTATTTCATATTTGGGTTTTCGGGTCAGTTTTTTTATTATATTCGTGCAGCTGTTGATATTTCCTAATTAGATTTTCTTTGTTATTCAAATAAACTTGCGTACGTAAGTATGTAAGCAACACTAGTCAATTTAAGGTTTTGATGTTCACGATACCGTATCGACATTTTTTTCAAATGACAGTTATTATTATGAGACAGAATATGCAATGTTGCCCCGATTTGCAGAATTTCTCAAAGAAATTTCCGATGCATAAATCGTATTATTAGAATTTTGAATATACTGTTAATATATCGAATTCCTACGTAATAAAAAAAAATTTTCCCTAATCCTTTTTAATCCTAAATCATCGAAAAAGAGACGGTCATTCCAGAGATAGCCGAATGTTCCCGATGATCATTTGTGATGAAGACAATTAAAATTGTAAAATCGAAATTTTAAGTACTGTACTCAAAATGTATAATGATTAGGGATGGGATCGGCTTATAGGTTAGTCGGTTTGACTATGGTTCTAGAGCTGAGCTGGCTTAAACCAACTTTATAAGTTAGCTGGCTCAGGCCGACTCAGTTGACTTAAACCAATTATATATCTGGGATTTAAAATTACTATTACTATATAGCTAGTAAACGCATTGAGGTAATTAGTTATATCATATTGTAATAAAGCTACATACAACTTTTTTATAGTATTAATGTAAATTGTAAATATAGTATATATAATATTAATCATTTATTAATCATTTATTAATCATTTATAAGATCTGCATATCAGCTAAACTGTGTAAACTGTAAACAGTATCCTCTGGGTACTGTGTATAGTAGAGCGTACAATAATCAAGGTACTATAATAAAAGCTAATACATAACTTAAGCACTTAGTCATCTATTTTTTTGGTTATACCCAGGTATATATCAATTGTTTAAACTACATGACTAATATAATACCTGGGTACTGTAGGTAGGAGGTACCTTTTTTTAGAGATGCTTTATCAATATCAGGTTTAATTCTTAAGATCATCGTAACTTCTAACTTAACTCTAATGTTGATGTTTAGGCCATGGTTTAAACCATGGTTCAAGCTTTAAGTTATGGTTTTTAAACCAAGCTCGACCATCTCATCCCTATATAACAGTGCATGTGCATGTGCATAATAAATTATAATAAACTTACAATACTGCACATGTTGATATGTACATTAAAAACGTGCTTGACAATAATCTCTAACACAATACTGCAATACCGCAATACCGAATGATAAATCGATAACATAGTAATAGTTAAATGAATATGTATAATTTTTTTAATCTATATTTTTTTTTTTAAAAAAAAAAAGAAGTTATTCATTAAATTTTGCTCGAAAAGGTGGGTAAGTAAATATTAATAACATTCTGTTTCGTTGAAATTAATCAACTTTTATTAAATTAATTAAAATCGAAATTACTTTTACATAATTATTTATCGATATCATTCGGAAGTTTAATCCGTCAACAATCAATTATTACAAAAAAGTTAACACTGTGCATTATATGATATGATTAGAAAAGATTAAAAAAAAATAAAAAATTTGATTTGTGTGATTTTCACATAAAACTTCAGGAGAAATTAGTACACATATACACTCGAACTTCTACGTAAAAAAACTTGTAAAATTAAAAAAAAAATAAATCTAGATACTATTTTAGGAATAACTATTTTTCTGAGGAGTAATATAAACTGTATCAAAAAAATCTCCAATAATTTTTTTGTTAAAAGTATACAAAACCTTTTTCGGTAATATTTACTATTTTTTTTACTGAATTTGATTTTTCTTACTTTACCATTTCAATTTTAGTTGTCTTGGCTAGTATTAAGTTTAAAACCTGAAAAAAAATTAGTTGTACTCCGCATTTATTCACTTCCGCCAAAAAAAAATTCTACATATATTGTATCAATATGTGTTTACTTGAAAACAGATCTACAACCTTAATTCAGTTCTATTACTGTTAGACAAAGAAGTGTAATCGATTTTTGATGAGGTAAGTTTGTAGTACAATACTAAATATCCAATAAATTTAATTTTTCTTCTGCACCTAATTTATCTAATTACGAATTAGGAAAATGTTTTGATGTATGCACAAAAAAAAAAAAAAAAAACGGATACATATTTTTCGGCCTTGATTGTATTCGAAAGATAATAATATCTAGATGATCATATTCATCGTGAAAATATTTATAAGCTCGTGGATAGCATTCCTCAACAAAATAAAAAAAAAATAAAAAAAATCTCAAAGATTTTTTAAAAAAAAAATTATTTCCCACGGTCCTTTAAAAAAAAAAACACTCTTTAACTCCAAAAAAAAAAAAAAAAAAAATACAAAAAAATTGAATTTTTTCGTATATATATATGTATATAAATAAAAACATGAAATCCACACAGTTATTCTTTATTGTCTTTGGTCTTTTGGCCTTTACGTTGATTAATTCTTCCGTATCGGCTAATAACTTTGACTTAAATATGAAATGTGAAAGTGCCGGCACAAACGAATGGGTATTGGACATTATGTGGACTCCTCAAGAGTCAATGATTCAACAATTAAATCAAATAGATTCAGTGAATGATACAAATTCCAAACCTGATCCAACAACCAGTCCTCAACCTACCCCTACTATTGCTAAAAGAGATAGTCATGAATCGAATGCTCCGAAAGATCCGAAAGATTCGAAAGACCCGAAAGATTCGAAAGATCCGAAGGAATCGAAAGACCCGAAAGATTCGAAAGATCCAAAAGAATCGAAAGATCCAAAAGATTTGAAAGATCCGAAAGATTCGAAAGATCCGAAAAAGTCAAAAGATTCGAAAAAATCCAAAAATTGGAAAAATTCGAAAAACAGAGATGTTAATGATGGTAAGTAATAGTTATTAATAATAATGTTCATACTTTATTATACAAATTATTTCTCACAATTTTATTAAATTTACAAAATATAGTCGTAATTCTCCTTATATGCAAAAATCTTGGATATTACGATTCAATGGTACGTTTCTACAATTGCACAAATTGTATAAGTTGTACATATATTATATCTCATTCTTTAATATCTAATATTTTTTTTATAGTACGGAAGATATAGTGAAGGAAGAGTAAGATACAATTTATACGGACGTAAATCTTGGAAATCTTGGTTTGGTCGCAATTCTTGGAAGAATAAAAATGACAAATATTACGATGGGAAGAGTAAAAATGACAAATATTACGATGGTGATAATTATTTCGGTGATAATGATTACGATTCTTACAATGATTATCGTGGTAACTATCGCGGTGACTCTCGTGATGACTATAGTGATAGCTATAGTGATAACTATCGCGGTGACTATCGTGATGACTATAGTGATAACTATCGCGGTGACTATCGTGATGACTATAGTGATAACTATCGTGGTGACTATCGTGATAACTATCGTGATAACTATCGTGATAACTATCGTGGTGACTATGACAAATACGACGAAAAAGATTGGGAAGAAAGATCTAAATGCACACTAGTAATTTTGGTTATTAGCAACCCAGGATATAGTGAGTCTAGGGAATTCAGCCTTAGTCGTGGATGGTAAATAATTGAACTTTATTTGATACCTATATATATATATATATATATATATATATTATTATATATTTGGAGTTTTAAGAGTTTTTTTTTAGAATTATCTTTTGAGATAAAAATTAGGATTCATGGGTGTAATTTAATAATAATAATAAAAAAATATATAAAAAAAGCCAGGTGAACATACTGGTATGTTTATCTGTATAAATAATCAATTGTCTTTTTCATATTTTTGGAAAATGGATTTTATTTCAAATGAATTTTAATCAATGCAAATTCTAGAATAAAAGTTTTACTTATCTACATATTACAGTGTTAAAATAGAAATAAGATCATATTATCCTAAGAAAATAATTATACATCATTAGCTGCTAAATTCAGGCAAAATTATTTGCAAATTTGACCAGAATTATAAACAATCAAAATTTAGCATCTAGGACAAAGTTTAGAGATAAATTAGGAATAGCTTGGTTCATATAAACAATAACTTAATGACAATCAGACAATCAGGTGTAATTAACGATATCATTCCAAAAAAAGGTGACAGCGAAATTATGTAACTCGGACCACCTAGTGGTGAAATTAAATCAAAATATTTTCAAATATTTAATTGGAACTCAAATTATTGATTTAATTTTTAAAAACACTAATCCGGTACAAAATGAATGAAACATTTCGTTATAAGCAAAATAAAAACATGTATCCTTCGGAAACCCAAATTCAGAACTTAATGTAACTTTTTTTATATCTATTTAGTTATTGTTTCACTGAGCATGATGTCTCATCGTCATCCTACAGTTCTTCATGACATAATTTGTAAGTGCCATGTGTAAGTTAGCATACATATTTATTTATCCACATGGTCGTACGTATTGTATTAATTGTTAATGTAAAGTTATCATAGGGCGAAGAATTAGGTAATGGTAGGACTATCCAAACATGCGATGTATGAGAACTTTCCTGAAGATAGTACTGTAGTAACATCAAACAAGATAATCACAAGGTACAGTAATCACAAAATGAACTATCAAACTTACAAGGATTCAAATAGGACAATATCAGCAAAGTTAATTTACCAAACGCAAGAAGTGCAGACAAATAATAGTAATGAGAAATCAAGTGGATCAATCTAAACAAAATTAGCTTCTTTTTCTGAATTGTAAAAAAACATTCGGGAAGAATTAGCCATGATTTGTTTTCATTAGAGAAAGGACCTTTATTAGGAATTTCAAACTTGAAGTGAGTGAAGGAGATATCTTAACAACTAACTACCTATCTAAAATCGTGAAACCTTTTTTATTTCGATTTTATATGACTAACAGCTGCAATAATTAAATAAAATTTTAAATAAGTGATTGTCAAGATATCTTCTAAAGTTTAGAAGAAACTTAGTTAACTATCAAAATAAAAGTTGTAGCAACGTTTTTGTTTTAACTTTGAGCGAATATATTTCAGCAACTATGAGTTAAAAATCGATGAAATTTTTATTATATGACTATATAAGGCAACACAATTGTTTTTTCGGTTTACATTACATTACACGGCATTCAAATGTTCGGTCGGGTGGTCGGATTTTTTTTTAATCTAAATTAATAAACTGAAATTTCGTGGAACCAAGTCTTAATTTTAAGGGTTAAAAGGCATTTTATTTGTTCAGGTACTACGTATAGTCTTTTTTTTTAAAAAAAAATCAACTTTCGAATCATACTTTCGAATCATATCTTTCGAATCATATCTTTCGAATCATATCTTTCGAATCATTTGTGTAGGTTAAAAAAATTTGGCCTGAATTTAGGCCGAATTAAGCTTAATGCAGGCCAAAATTTTAACCTACGGTAAGTTATGAATTCGGTGCCATCGGGATTGGATTTTGGCATTACAATAATCTAATAACATCGACTTCGAAAAATTATCAATTGTTTCAGAATTTATAATTGAATAATTTATCTTTTATGTCAAAGATTGCTATCAAATGAAACTAAGAAAAAACATCCTTAGAATAGATTCATATTAAACATATTTACCATACATAAACCTAATTGTATATTTGATATACATTAACTTTAAAAAAATTACTTAAACCCGGACGGACGTTCACGCTAAATTTGTAAACTTCAGGACAAATTCTAGAAGAGATGATCACACATTGTTGATCAAAAAAAAAAGTGCTACATACTCGAATTATCCGGTGATTACTTACGAACGTACGTACCTGATATACCGAAATTACAGCAAATCAAAGTAAAGGCCGCTATACCATTCTAATCAACTGTAATTCCTAACCTCAATATATACCAACACGTAATATATGAATGATGCACAGGGAAAATTTTATTAACGATTTGGCACTGGGGCGTAACCAATCATAGGATATGACAAATAATAATATATTCTATGATTTAGTCTCCAAATCGTTAAAGTCGGCATAGCGATTAACGAATAAAGTTTTACTTAACGTTACAGGTTTTCCCTGTGCATCGCTCATATAACACCAGTTATACCGATAATGATCTACGATATTTGGTGATACTCTTAACAAAATAGGTATATAGTAAATTAGTACGGTACGGAAACGCAAATTGGAACGAACATATGAAAATCATAATAGTACGTACAGTACGTACAGTTAGGGATTGGAACCGTTTAACCGTTTAAAAATTGCTCAATAGTTCCGGGCAGAATTATGTTGGTCGTGGGCCGGTATTATTTTAATGGCGGTCAAACTAAATGATTAAACGATTAAGAAAAATTTTAGGCAGGTCCCAATCCCTACGTACAGTACCCTCCAGAAAATATATCACAGTTATCGCTTAGCAGTTAGCAAATTAATACAGTACATACGTACATACAGGTAATATACGTACAAATTTAGCTATTTTCTAATTTCTTTTTTTTTTTGCTTTATCAGGCAAACAAGAAATTTGCGATTTTGATTGGTCGTAGGCGTCGGGAAAACTTGTGATGTACGTGCCTGGGTTTAATGATGTTAAGCGACTCTATGTTGTTAAGATAGTTAGTAAAGTAGTACTGTACGATTGTACAAATATGTACGGACGTACAAAAATTGAGCAAAATTTTGATAGTACGTACGGTTGACATAGGTTGGTAAAATTAGTCCATTATCCATTTGGCACAAGGATGTGGCGAATCACTGGGTGTGGCTAATAAGAATTATATAATATAATTATTTAGCTAGTGCTTACTCTCCACACCGATGATTCGTCACATCCCCATGGCAAATGAAAGAGGGAACCCCATTTTTAATGGTTAGGTTATGGCAAGTGTAAGGTTATAGGAAAATTAGCTTTGCTTCGGAAGAATTTTTTCTTTTACAAACCATACAGTACCCTCAGAAAGTATGTCACAGTTGCGCAAAAAAGCCTAACATAAAATTATGCAAAAAGTACGCATATTAATTTGCATACGTAATAAATGAGATGGCTTTACTCAAAGCATACAATTTGGGCGAAACTTTAAGATACGTACAGTATGTAAGGCAAAACTTATGAATGTTATAGTGTATACATATATGGGATCCGAATTCAGAAAATCCTTTTATTGTATTAACTTAATTTTACTTGTTCTTTTAAAAAAATTCCATTTTTTTCCATCTCATCTATTTTACATTCAGAGAATAACAAAAATTATAAAAGTACGTAGATCTCATGCAAACTTTCTTTTCCTTCCATTTCTATTTAATTTTCTTTGCAAATTCGAAACATCTAAATTCTCTTTAAATTTTCATTTAAATTTTCACGCATTTAACACAGCCTATCATAAAATTTCATTAATTTAATAATATTACTTTCTTGTGCCCGCGACTACGAATTTACATTAGTTGACCTTCGGAAACACGAAAGCAATTTCATGTGATTCGCTTAAGTCACGATATCATCGGATAGGTATTCATGTAATTGGATTTAGATCACCAAAAAGTATAGTTATCGTTATGCAATCTTTCTATTAACATTATAAATATCAACCGTAATACAATGTTATTGATAAAAATCCGAAATTTTCACTATAATTTTAGATTTTTAATATTTTAACAAAAAACAATAACACTATAGATCTGCCTAAGGTCCCAACAGACTTTTTTAGTGATAAATTTTGCTTGCTAAAAATTATACAAAAAAAAAAAAAATAGTTAATAGAATTAAAACTTAAAAGCTTAAACAAGAATACTTAATTTAAGAATTTCTTTTTAATTTTCATAAAAATTATTACAACCCACTCACGTTATAATAAAGTGATCCGTTCCATTAATAAAAATTTCATTATATCGAGAGAATTTTATATAGATTGGCTTTGAGATTAACTTCACCATATCGAGATTTTAATTAGTCTTCACTATATCGAGAGTTCACTATACCAAGAGTGAGTTGTATAAATATTAAAATATTAATTGACAATCCACGAATAAACGAGAATTTGTATAACCATACATATAAATATAAAAATCAGCATTCCTGACTAAGTCAATTTTTTATCAAGTTAACGTCTTGTGAGCTTTTAATAAAAGTTGTATAGTTTTTGTGATTCTAATAGTAGTAAGAACAGTAAAATTAGTCAAATAAATAAAAAAGTTATAAGCAATTTAAATTTTTAAAAAAATTATAAAATTATAGGAATCACGATTTCTGTATTAATATTTTTTGCAATGTTTTATTATAAAAGTTCTCCCAGCATAAGGTTCCGTTTTACGGATCTTCAAATCTGCAACATTTATAAATGCAATATCTACACCACCAAAATTGCTGCATCAGATTTTAATGTGAAAGTTATGATTTTAGTTCATGAGAAATTAGAACATATATAAAGACATTTACTTACCTTTAGTTAAAGGTATTCATCTCAAAGTAAATCTGATACCAACCATCTGAGCTAAATTCAGCATGATTGTAGTTACGATGATCACAGCGGTAAAACATTAGACTAGTTAATAATTGTATATTTCCATCAATTCATTTTTCTGAAATTTTCTGAAATATTAACAATAAATCAGCATCACCGTTTGAAGCATATTTTAAATTTTGTTAGTCTATGCACTTTTTAGGTCAACTCAACTCAACGCTCGCAAGAGCTTATACATAAACTATGTAAAACACTTTCAATCTTGTGACAAGACAAATCATCTTTTGTTTAAAACGGTTAACAATATGAAAACACTGTTTAACTAGGTGATGAATGAAAGTTTGATCGTTGATCATTTATTCATATTTAATCACTCAATATCGTTACGAACGCATCGTGAACAATGTCGATAAAAAAAATAACTTTCGTGTGCACGTCCGTAAACTGTGACAGGCTAAACCACTAATTTTAATCACCGTCCGATTATATTTCCAGAGTAAGATTAAAAAAAAATAAAATTTCAAAAGTTGACTTTTGATATTAACTAACCAAATATTTATATAAAAAAATAAAAACTTTAAAATTAAAATAACGAATACGACATAAATATTTCACTAGTATATTTTTTTATTTACGTAAATTAAATTAATTTAAATACAATTAAAAATCTAATTGAAAAACATATTTAAATTAACGCAAATAAAATGAAATTAATAATAAATCCGTCAAAGTTTGTCGTCGTCGGGTTTGGGTTTTATCATAATTATACGAAGTTTCGTTTAACTAAATTCTTTTTCGCATTTTCAATGTCACCTATATAAAAGAAAAATTCAAATTAGAAATGCAACACATTTCACAGTAAGTATAATTAAACAAAAATGAAATAAAATAAAAAGATGGTAAATACAAAAATACATTGACGAAGTTATTGTTATATAAGAAAAGGTCGTAACCGATTTCCTCATCCAGAATCGGTGGACCCTTTTGGCGAAGAAATGGTATATGACTGATCCCTTCTCCTCCCGCCTCATAAATCAGTCGGCCTTCCTTCGCCTTACTTATATACAAATTTTACGTCCAGTATTTGTAAATTCCATCTATTAATAATATACTTACTTTTTCATTCAAGTTAGCGTAATAAATCTTACAAAGTACATACCCACCTAGAATAAAAAAAAAAGGTAGTTAAGTGTGTTTGGGAAATCAACAACTAACACAATGGGTGTGAATTTTCGTTTGTTTTGATTTTCCCTGATCGTGCAACGTTACACTTGATCTTATAATCTCATTGGTTTGCACCACAAAATATCACGTGACTGTGTTTTTATTTATATGATATATAGTGAAGACGAAAAGAATAAAGAAAAAAAAGTATTGTACGTACGTAAA